ACTTGTGCAGTACGTCGGGCATGGGGCTTGTGCTTGGAGGGCAGAGTCCAGTGGTCCTCACTGGGCACGCAGACGCTTCTTGGGCTGAGGACCAGGCTACGCAGCGGTCGTCACAGGGTTACACCTTCACCCTTGGTTCCGGCTCTATCTCGTGGCGGGCTACCCGCTCATCTTCTGTTCTCGGCTCTAGTTGTGAGGCTGAGATCTACGCCGGGGCCATGGCTGCACAGGAGCTTTGCTGGCTCACCTACCTGCTGACTGACCTCGGAGAGCCGCCTTGTTCTCCTCCAGTGTTGTACGTAGACAACAAGGCCATGCTGGCCTTGTGTCGAGAGCAGAGACTGGAGCACAGAACAAAGCACATTGCTCTCCGCTACTTCCTTGCCCGTGAGCTACAGCATCGTGGTCAGCTGCGCCTTGCGTACGTGGCCTCTGAGGCCAACACTGCTCATATCTTCACCAAGGCACTTGCGCCTTGTGGTCACCAGCGCTTCTGTACTCAGCTGGGTCTTGTGCCTACCTTGCCTCACTTGCTCACCCCTTGACCTTGTTTGTATTGTTGCATATATATATACACCTGCTCTCGCTTGTCTAGCCCTATATATATATGTAATCCTGCATGTGAACTGGCCTTGTGGCCTTGAACTTGTGCTCGGAATGTGTGGTGACTTTGTGATCCACCCTGAGCTTTGCTTTGTTTTGCTTGACTGGTCTTGTGACCCCTTGTTCTCCCCCACTTTGCCTGTGGGGGTGTGTCAGATTTATATGACACAGCTACTGTAGGCTATAGTGGGGTAGCACATATGGGGTACAGCTTTCTAGGGTTTGTACTTGTACCCAACTTTCCCTTAGTCATTTCATTCTCGTTCAATTTGACATAGTTCAGGACCAGGCTACAGTTCAGGACCAGGCTACAGTTCAGTTCGTCGTACCACCCTGAGACCGACGGTCAAACGGAGCGGACGAATCAGACGATGGAGCAGTTGAATCGTGCCACGTGCGACGACCCTACCACTTGGGAGCAGCAGCTGCCGCTGATCGAGTTTGCGTACAACAACGCCACGTCAGCAACGACGCAGCAGTCCCCCTTCTACCTGAACTACGGGCAAAACCCTACAGTGCCCATGACGCCGAGTCCAGACAACCCAACACCACGTGCACAGCAATTCGCCGAAATCCTGGAAGCTGCCCGCACTAGAGCCGCAGAAGCAATTAAAAAAAGCCAATGTCATTGCTATGTCAGAATCAACAAGAGTGAGCAAAAGGAGGATTTGCACTAGCAGCAGTTGGCATATATATAGGAAACCCTAATTGGGTTGTACTCGCTATAGAGTACCCCACTGCAGGCTAGACAATTATATCATTCTGACACATCCCCATAGCCAAAGTGGGGTGTAATCAGCACAATGAGCAAGCATCGTAATAGTTCACAATTATAAGCAAAGCTAGAGGCGATCACAGAGGGCAAGTGAGGAGGAGGAGGAATTGTGAGGGGAGAGAAGATGGGAGACGACGGCTGAAGCTGCAGACACACGGGCACCAGGAGGACTGACACAGTAGCTACCGAGCGCACGATGGCACCGGACTATGGGAGTATCTGGCTCTGCGACTACGACGAGCGGTAGGAGCAACGGACCCACAGGCGACTGGCACAGCAAGGCTCTCTGGGCTACCGAGAGCGTGAGGGCTCCGGACTACAGGGGCTGCGGACGACACGACGGCGGCCTCCTCTCAGCCTCCCCAAACAGTCCCACCTCCTTTCCACACACCCCCTGCTGCACCCCTAGCTCCACTCCCACGTCACCCCCGTTAAACCCTAAACCCTCGGCTCCCACACACCCACCCCCCTCAGCGGCAGCTGCAGAAGTGGGAGACAGAGAAGGAGGAGGAGTTGCAGGTTACCCACAGCGGTCACCCCCATGCCCGCCACCCCCAAACCCTAACTAAGGCAGGAGCGCGGGAAGCAGCAGGGGCGCTTCACAAAGGGAAAGGGTGGCGTCGGGGGGTCTCCTGGGCGCCAAGAAAGAGCAGGGCGCGGGCCCCCCGAGGGCGCCACTGCGGGTGACGGGAGGGGGGCCGCGCACGGGCCCCTGAGGGCGGCTCGACGGGCGACGGAAGGGACCGCGCGCGGGCCCCCAAGGCGCCGCGACGAGGCGACGGGTGAGGGCGGCGCGCGGGCCCCCAAGGCGCCGCGACGAGGCGACGGGAGGGGGGCGACGGGCGGGCCCCCAAGGTGCTGCGACGAGGTGACGGGAGAGGGGGGACGCGCGGGCCCCCAAGGCGCCGCGAAGAGGCGACGGAAGGGGCCGGCGCGCGGGCCCCCAGGGCGCCGCAACGAGGCGACGGGAGGAGGACGACGGAGGGCAGTGCGCAGGTCCCCGGGGTCGCCATGACGAGCAGGCGCGCCTCGGGGCGCACGGCGGGCAGAAAACCGCCGCACGCCCTGAGCGCACGGCGGGATGAAAAACGCCGCGCGCTCCGAGCGCGCGGCAGGAAGATAGGGTCGCGCGCCCGGGGCGCGCGACAGCAGTAGAGCAGCTGAAGCATCGGGTGGGGCCCACCCACAGGATCGACCCAGGAGGGTCGACCTACTCTGATACCATGTTAGCATCAACAAGAGTGAGCAAAAGGAGGATTTGCACTAGCAGCAGTTGGCATACATATAGGAAACCCTAATTGGGTTGTACTCGCTATAGAGTACCCCACTGCAGGCTACACAATTATAACATTCTGACATGCTAAGCGCAACGCTGACCGCCACCGCAGCTCAGTCACGCACCAGTCAGGAGACTACATACTGCTCGAGACACAGAACTTAAGACTGCCCGTCGTACCAAAATTGCGACCCCGCTACTGTGGACCATTCCAAATCAGCCACATGAATACCTTAGTGAAAGCCCTCCTACTGTTGCCGACGGAGTGGTACATCAGCCCTTCATTCCACGTCAGCCTGGTTCGCCCATATGTCCCAACCACAAGCGAACTGCCTCGTCACCGCCCACCATCCATGACTCGCCCTGCATCGGAGCCGATCATTGAGCCAGAAAAAATCTTGAGCCATCGGATTCGACAGGCCACGGGAATCAAGAGGATTGAATTCCTCGTTCGCTGGAAGGATCGCACGCCTACTGAAGATAGCTGGGTGCCCCTGGCCAACATCGAAAACCACCCTGTCCTGCAAGTGTACCTGAGGAGCCGGGGTTTCCGCAATATACACGCACTCGCGGAGCGGAGGGGGCTTCTTGAGGGAGGGGTAGTGTAAGGAATTTTCTCAATATTCCTTAGCGCACCCTGCAACACCGCGTACAGCTGCAGCCGTTGTTCGCCCGTTATTGCTAACGGGGCTTCGCCGACTTAGCGCGCATTGTTTTACCAAACCTCGCACTGCTGGACCGGCCGTGTCGGCCTACGCTTCGGGACAAGCCAGAGCCTCGCTTCCAGCGTAGCACTAGCTAGCTCGCACGCACCGCGTTACCGTTTGCATGTTTCGCATATAAATGTTCGTTCATGCCTTCGCTCACATTTTGTACTCGTTTGACACCTAGGTGCAATTCTCGCTACTTAGATTCATTTCGCCTGTAACAGTAACTGATTACGATCTTAATATATTCTTATTCCTAAATGCATCCGTCAACCAAATCCCAAGAATGGATGCGAGACCCATGTGCTTGTGCTTCTGTCGTTTCACCAGGAAAATGCTGCTCTTGCGATGTGAGTCGTGTCGGCGGTGTGCAATGGAGTCTGAAGTGGGACGTCAACGGATGTCGACAGATCCTGACGGTCGGAACCCTCAATCCGAGGGCTTCCATTTACCGACATCCCCGAAGTTTTGTCAACGGATGTTGACGTTCGCTTCGAACACCCGCTAATCGAGTCGAGTCCCTTGCCTCTCGTGATTCTTGTTCTCCTAGTTCCTCTCATGATTCTTGTTCTTCCCTTGCTTTCTTGAATATACACCGAAACTGCGATAATTCCACACCCCTTATCTTTATGCCCGAGGGTAGCCACCCTCATTTAGTCTGATTTTGAGAGTGGCTCACAACATTATTTGATTTATATAGGTTACACTCACGCAATCCCGTGGCGGGATTTCCCAAAGTACAAGCATGATGTGGAGATTTTCCCCTCTCAATCTGACTGTGAAGTGTAAGTTTCGTGAGGCTGGACGTTCCGGTAATTTAATTATAGACCCATATTTTCAGGGTGCCTGTGTCTTCGAACCAAAAACTATTTAGGGTGTCTGGCTAGGGAAGCGTACGGGGTGTGGAATTATCGCAGTTTCGGTGTACATAAGCAGTTTGTTGGGGTGATGCGAATCAGAAGCTAGTTCACGTCGACATTTGGCTGGTTCCTTTGCTTTTCTGTTTTCCATTCACTGCTCTGATCCTTAGCTCCTGCGTTGCGTGCCTCAAAAGTCCTCTCGGTGCTCAGTGTTCCTCAGCATCTGAAGTGCATCGCAGTACTTTTTCAGTCTACCTCCTCCTCTCCCAGCCTAACCCACTGCACCGTCTGAACGTCAGCGCTCTCGCGAACTCCCGTTAAATAACCTATTCACTCAGAGGGGGAAGCGTCCAACGCGTAAAATTTCCGCGTCGCGCGTCGCACGACATCATGTGGCTTTGGATAGTGCGCCTTGCGAAGAAGATCATGCCCAAGGTCCGCGCCAGACGCGCCGCAAGGCGCGGAGAGACACAGAATGAGACTGCGTCGGGTTAGACGCACAGTACCAGGCTACTGAAGTATCGATGGACAATACTAATGTTTAGGAAATGTGTGCACTTGCAGGATAGCAACGCTTGGCTACACTAAGTATTGTTGTGATTAATCACCCCATTTTGTAATTTATTTGAGGGCCTTTGCATACTTTCCAGGTGCCCCCCGGGCTACTTCTTTGACATAAACTGAAACGGCCAGGGCATAATTTTGTCAACAGAGAACCATTGGCTGCATGCCAGGCGTTCGTCCTCAAAAGAAAAGACTTCTGATATATTGTTGGCAATTCACAGTACTTGGGCAAAAGCAGCTGCTGCCATGGGCTGTAGCACGTTGATTCCAAGTAGAAAGGCAATGGCTGTTCCGATGGTATAGCCAAATGTCCCCAGTAGCACTGCAGGACGCACCTGAAAATTCAAGGGATACAGCAATGGGTTTTCTTTGTTACAGCAGAAACATATTGTTGAATGTTCTGGGCTGAATGAAGCAATGCTGCTGATGCAAGTGAAGAGAGGATAGGGAGTGGCAGTTGGATGGACCAGTGGAATGTATATTGTACCATGAAATCGCTCACACTGTGAAACCCCATGTGTTACCAGTACAGACAGTGCAGGTTTCTAGACGATAAACCCAACAAAAAACCTGAACACTGTAGCTGGTCTCACCAGTTGGGGCCAATTGCGGGCACTGGCCATAGCAGCAGCAGTGGCAGGACCCCCCACATTGGCATTGGATGCTACCATTAGCTGATTGGGGGGGGATGGGAAAGGATGGAGAAGCAAGGAGGGAAGCGACATAAGGGAGGTTATTTGGCGTCTCGAAGCAGCCATGGAAGAGATGCTAGGGAAGGAACGAAATGAGGGACCAGAGGGGTAGAAGGAGAAGAGTAACAAGACAGAACACCTTCTTCTTCTTCTCTTTTTTTTTTTTTCGTTCTTTTTTGTTTTCTTTGCTCCATTCATCTGCATAGGAAATCACTATACGGAAAAACATATGTGATGCTGTGACAGTGTGTTTTTAACTGACTCCACATTGTTCCGCAAGTTTCTGTATGGGAACTAGATGGACAAAAAAAGAGGGTAAGGAGCCAGAGCATCAGCGCTAATAAAAGCTTGCATAAGGAAAAGGATGCAGCACTTACAATATCAAGTGGGATGTTGAGAAGTCTTCCCCCTAGAAGAACTACTACAATGTGAACCTGATGTGGCGGGCGGATCGTGCAGCAAGAAATGGAAAAGGGGGAAAGATCAGGAGTTTGGAAATGCCTACGAGTGGCTGAGGGAAAACAGAGAACAGAGAACAAAACAACTAAAGGGAATAGATTGCAACTTGTGGTGGAAAGAACGACTCCTTCAAACTACAATTTTCAGGAGCCATCACCAATGAGCAGCAGCCATGACATACCATTAACACAGTTGCAACGAATGCAAGCAGACCACCACCAGCGGACATGGCTTCAGACACACTTGCTGACGCTCCTATCTGCCAGAGAAAGGGTAAAGGGTAGCTAAATGGTCAAGACGGATTAGGTAGCACCAACGGTTGCAGCACCATCTTGTGTACTAGCTTAAAGCCCGAAATCCTACTGCCCTCGGACATCTCAAGGGTACCTGGAAAACGCTGATTGATGCCCATGAAGGAAAGGGGGTGACTATTAACTTGCTCGGTTATGGGCGCGCAGGAAGGCTTAAATTTGCAAAGAAGACCAGAATTAGGGAGTTCCCAAGCGTCTCTGCTCCTGTGGACAGTGAACAGTGAATTTTTTAGGCGCCTGGAAAATAAGCTTACATTTGCAAAGAAGACCAGCATCAGGGAGTTTCCAAGCGTTTCTGCTCCTGTGAACAGTGAACCTCCCTCCTCTCCCTCCTCTCCCTCCTTTCTCTTCTCCCCCCGCCCTGTCAGCCTGGCTGCTACAGTCGACAGGAGGGAGGCCAGCAGGGCGGCAAGCGCCAGCTGTGCCGAGGCCATCACGGGCGGCAGGTGGACAGCAATTTTGTCCGCTAGCGCGCATGCTGAGGCGGCAGCGGCAATGGAGAGAGTGAGGGACTCCACCGAGGGGGCGGGGGGTGGAGAGTGAGTGAGGTGTGAGGAGGATGAGGAGGGAGGGGAGGGAGACGGCAGAGGAGCAGGAGTGTGCAAGGATGAGGAAGAGGAAGAAGAGGCGGAAGGAGAAGGAGAGGAAGGAGACGGGGAGGAGTGGAGGAGAGGAGCCGAAAGCCCTGTATCTAGCTTTTTCTCCGACTCATCAGAATTGCCTCCTATCTTCACCCCTCCCCACCTCTCCCCACCCCACGGCTTGGGCCAGGAGTCCGGGAGGGCAGCAAGCACCGAGAAGTAAGCGGCCATGAGAAGGTTATCGACTGCCATGCCTGCTGTGAGTAAGCTGGCTCCCGTGCTGGCCGCTGCCGCTCCTGCTGTGATGTCCATGCCCAGGGCCTGATATGCATGTGCATACAGGAAGGAACGGACGGGAGGAGCAAGGGAGACATAGAGCACTGAGAAGTAAGCGGCCATGAGGAGATCGTCCACCGCCATGCCTGCTGTCAGAAAACTGGCCCCCATGCTGGCTGCTGCTGCTCCTGCTGTGATGTCCATGCCTAGAGCCTGTGGTGTGTGGTGGTGAGAGGGGAGGGAGGCAGAGAGCAGCAAGCACCGAGAAGTAAGCAGCCACGAGGAGGTTGTCCACCGCCATGCCTGCTGTGAGTAGGCTGGCTCCCGTGCTGGCTGCTGCTGCCCCTGCTGTGATGTCCATGCCTAGAGCCTGGTGGATGTGTGAACAGGTGAGAAGAGGAGATTCAGCGAGAGGGACGGAGAGTAGGGAGAGTAGGCGGCTACGAGGAGGTTCTTGAAACTCAACTCTCTTCTTCCATTGCCTCTCCCTCTCTCCTCACCTTAGCAGTGGCAGTGTAGTCCACGCTCCTCCCAATGTACGCAGCACAGAAGCAGGCCGGCACCCTTCATTTTCCTAGTACTCTCTCTCTGTCTCTCCTTCATCCCTCTGCCTCTCCCTCTCTCCTCACCTTAGCAGTGGCAGCATAGTTAACACTACCACCGATGTACGTCGCACAGAAGCAAGCCGCCACCTTCCACCCCTCCACCCCAAGGGAGGGCCCGGCCAATGAGAAGCCGACAAGTGTCCCTGCAATCGTGCCCGCTGCACCCAGCAGGAATGCTAGCAGGCCGGGACCTGATTGGAGGGGAAGGCAGGGGAAGGGGGGGAGAGGAGAGAGACGATTTTGAGACGTTTCGAAAATCGCCCAGAAGGAAGGCTAGCAGGCCGGCCTGATTGGGATAGGCAAGGGAGTGGGGGTGGAGAGAGCGGGAGAGAGAGGGCGTAATCCATGTGATAAGGCGAGGCAGCATGACATTGGATGGCATTGTTGGCATGGCATGGACATGGCATGGGCATGGGATGACATATGGTAGCTTGTTGTGAGGTCCTGCATAGCATAGAATGGCACGGGATGATGTATGCCTCACCTGACTGTGTGAATGCTGACGTCACATCTGTTTCTAACAGCACCAGAGCCACGGCCATGGGCATGACACGTGTCCACACCTGATTGGCAGGCACAGAAAGAAGAGGAACTCACAAAATCGTGAGCACAGGAAGTAAAGAAAACAAACGAACAAAAAGACAACTCGGCTGCGAAGATATTTTCACGGCGTGCTCAACGTTACGACGTGCGCTCACGATATTTTTGCCGCTCGCTTACAAAATCATAGACGGGAGAGGCGGTGGGCAGCACTGAGAGGGAGGCCAGCACGGCTGCTGCGAGCATGGCTAGCAGCACTGACGACACCTGCTGGCCCCACGACGTGCGCTGCTCCAGCAACTGAGGGGTGGGACAGGAGAGGGGAGGGGGTGAGGGGTGGATGGGGAAACGAGACGAGAGGCCTCACAGCATGGTTAGAAGCACCGATGACACCTGCTGACCCCACGACGTGCGCTGCTCTAACAGCTGAGGGGGGGAAGGGGGATGGGGGAGGAGGTTGGAGAGACGAGGGGGGAGGAGAAGAGGGGACGCGAGACCTCACGAATTTAGAGGTTGAGCAGCATGGCTAGAAGCACCGACGACACCTGCTGACCCCACAACGTGCGCTGCTCCAACAGCTGAAGGGCGGGAGGTGGATGATGGGGAGAATGGGGAAGGCGGAAAAGGGGAGACGAAAGACCTTCAATCAGAATACAGTGAACACACAGCATGGCTAGCAGCACCGACGACACCTGCTGACCCCATGACGTGCGCTGCTCCAGCAGCTGAAGGGCGGGAGGTGGATGATCGGGGAATGAGAAGGGGGAAAAGGTGAGAGGAGACCTTGGAACAAAATCCGGTGAGCAGTCAGCGTAGTGGTAGGCACCGATGACACTGCTGGCCTTATGACGTGCGCTGCTGACTTTTGAGTCGACTCTAAAGTCAGCGTAGTGGTAGGCACCGATGACACCTGCTGGCCTTATGACGTGCGCTGCTGACTTTTGAGTCGACTCTAAAGTCAGCGTAGTGGTAGGCACCGATGACACCTGCTGGCCTTATGACGTGCGCTGCTGACTTTTGAGTCGACTCAAAAGTCAGCGTAGTGGTAGGCACCGATGACACCTGCTGGCCTTATGACGTGCGCTGCTGACTTTTGAGTCGACTCAAAAGTCAGCGTAGTGGTAGGCACCGATGACACCTCCTGGCCTTATGACGTGCGCTGCTGACTTTTGAGTCGACTCTAAAGTCAGCGTAGTGGAAGGCACCGATGACACCTGCTGGCCTTATGACGTGCGCTGCTGACTTTTGAGTCGACTCTAAAGTCAGCATAGTGGTAGGCACCGATGACACCTGCTGGCCTTATGACGTGCGCTGCTGACTTTTGAGTCGACTCAAAAGTCAGCGTAGTGGTAGGCACCGATGACACCTGCTGGCCCCATGACGTGCGCTGCTCCAACAGCTGAGGGGTGTGAAGGGCGGGAGGTGGATGGGGAGAATGCAGTGAGCAGACAGTTAAGACAGAGACCGGGGAGCTCACAGCATGGTTAGAAGCACTGACGACACCTGCTGGCCCCATGCCGTGCGCTGGTCTAGCAGCTGAGGGGAGTAGGAGGGGAGACGGGTGGATGTGGGAAACACAGGGAGCACATAGTGAAGAAAGAGACAAGAGAGCACACAGCATGGCCATGGGTACAGATTCAATTTTGAGGGGCAGAATGGGGCAGAGGAAGTGACTCTGGGGAAAAGAGGGAGAGAGAGCGTTTAGAGTGAACGGAGTGACTTTGGTAACCCAAGTCACCTGTTAGCCGTATTCTGTGCGCTGCTCGGAGTTAGATGGTGGGGAAAAGGGGGAGGAGGAGAGGAGGGAAAACAGAGTGATTATTGACTTGGGATTTACTAGTCGTGGTGAGAGAATAGAAATCACGATGTGAGTTGAGCACGCTCGTTATAGTCACCTGGGCGCCAGCGGCGCACGCGCACAGCACCGCCCAGACCGCTCCGTCTGACAGCCCGTCGCCTGCAGCAGCGACGGCTGTAGCTGTAGCAGCACCGGTGGCCGCGGCGGCTGTAGCAGCGGCAGTTGTAGCAGCACCAGTGGCAGCAGCGACAGCCGTAGCAGCATGAACCGGCATGGCAACACCTGCTACAGCCGCGCCGCATGCAATCGCGATCAGCACGCCCAACGAACCCGCCCCTGCGGCTGTAGCAGCTGCGCTACATCCGCTGTTCGTCCCATTCCCAACCGCCACGTGGCCGGCACATGGCTTCCTGTAAGCCGCAATGCTACAGCCGCGCCCGGTTGTCCGAACTGACTCGTGGGCGGCACGTGGTTTCCTGGAATCCCCAATGCTACAGCCGTCGGCGGTCTCGGCAGCCAGGCTGCTGGCACGGCGGCTCCCATCACGCTCTCTGCTACAGCCTGTCGCATCTAGATTGTGAATGCTTCTGCTACAGCCAAGGTTGTCAATGCTACGGCTAAATATTATACCTCCTCTGCTACAGCATGTGCGTCTCCGGGTAAAATCCTCTCTGCTAGAGCATCTAGCGGCAGCGGATGTGGCGGCAGCGGCTGTGGCGGCAGCCTGATGAAACGGCGCCGCTGCTGCTACAGACCGGAATGGCATGACTGAGGAGGAGAGGAGGAGACTAACCCGTCAATTCGTCCTAAAACTGTTATTGAGGCGCCTCAAAAGGACAATGAGGAGAAGACAAACTCGTCAATGCGTCCTAGCTGCGGGTATATCAGGATGAGAAGATTCGAGCGCCGGTACTATCAGGAAAGAATGCTCCTCGCGAGGATGGTTCGGAATTTTATAACAGAAAATGGATAATAATCTGCTTTTGAGTCGGCTCTTTAGCAATGTTATAAATGAAAATGAGTAATCATGAAACTGTGTGTCATTCTGAGGTGAGCGTGATACTCATGAGCCTTTTCTTCGCCACCACGTGAGAAAAAGAAGGAATTCAGCGTTTAGGACCTGAAAAAATGCGACGAGAACAGGTCCATAGCCCACGAAATCACGCTGAACGTTCGAATAAAAAATTAAACGCCAAGCATTACTCCTGGACGTTCATGAGCCTCCTGACCAGCTCTTTCCACAACAGCTGGTGTACTTGGGCTGGATAATGAGTGGATTCAACCCACTGACACTCCAGGCTCCCAGAACAGAGACGAACGAAAGGTCAATACTTGCTGCTGCTGTTGCTGGGCTGATCATGAAGCCGTCTAAATACTCCGTGTGGATAAGGATGCCGACATTTTTCCCGCGCTCTTTTCGCGGCTCGCTTTAACAGATTTCGATACGCGTATTTGCAAGAAAGGTACACCAGATTCTAGACAAATTAGTAGCTTATTTTCCGAATACAGTTGCTGCCGACACTGCAAATATCAACACTAAGGGCGTATTCCTACGGCCTCCTATCAAGAAACCTCCTATCAAGATTGTACATTTTGCCTGGTAAAAGTAGCGAGAGATTTTGGGTTTAGGGAATTTTCCAGTGAGAGCTTGATAGGAGGTTTTCTTGATAGGAGGATAGGAATACGCCCTAAGAGAATCTCTTCAGATTAACCACTTCTATGGTGACACTACAAGCTTAACAGAATAGACATTATTCCAGAAGACATTTTTATTCGAATATAATGTCCCCACCAATCGGAAGGTGATCACTCGGGAAATACAAATTCGGAAGGCCCATCCCAAGCCTAGCATCTTCCCTGCTTGGCAGCCATAAGGTTGACGTAACCGAAAATGGCATTGCATCCTTCGATACAAGCACATAATCAATCGTTCCACAAAAGGGCGGGTTGAACGTTGTCAGCTCCGGTTCTTGCCCACAACCTCGTCCCTCAACCATATCTTCCATTCTGATACTGTTACCGGCAGATTTCATTGCCTCATGGACCGATGTACTACCATCCTCCTGTTTCTTGCCATCGCATCCCACTGCCTCTGATTCTGCTGGTGCTGCTCCTCCAACCTCTCCTGCTGCAACTCGCCCCGTTGTTGCTTCTCCTGCTTCTGCTGCTGTGGCTGCGTCTCGTGCTTCTGCAGCATCAACTGGTACAGCAGCCAATACTCTGCTGACAGCTGTAGCATTAAGACTTGCCAGTGGTATGGGTGCGATTGGAAATGCAGGTGCATCTGTTGATGATGCTTCTGGTGCTGCTGCTTCTGGTGCTGAGTCATCTGGTGCTCTTGATGTTGCTGTTGCTTCCGGTGGTGTTGCTAGTGTTGTGGGGAGGACCTGGCCTGATGTCAGGTACTCATACACCTGCAATGGGTGGGTAAACAATGAAAACAATTGGGTGCTTACCTATTGCACACACCCACGCACACACACAGATATTCGGCTTCATACATAGGATGACTGCATGCGGATGTGATGATAGCAGGTCTGACAGGCACCATGACGCGCCCGGGCGGGCACCATGAATTGCAGCTCCAGGCGCAGGGGAATCTGCAGCTGCAGACGCGCCCGGGCACCATGACGCGCCCGGGCACCATGACGCGCCCGGGCACCATGACGCCAGGGAGCGAGTTAAAGTCACCATGGGCCAAGAGTTGAGCTTACAGGGTCACCGGGAAGAGAGTTGAAGTCGCCGCAGATGACGGTGACTGGCGTGCTACCTGGCGCACTAGTGGCACTGGCAGAAGGGCATGATGTGCCTAGCACGGGTCAGAGCTGACTGTATAGAGGGGCCGGGACTTCAATAAAATTACTTACAGGGTCACCGGGAAGAGAGTTGAAGTCGCCGCAGATGATGGTAACCGGTGTGCTGCCTGCCGCACTTGTGACACTAGCAGATGTGTGACTGTGTGCGGAGGGGACTATAGAGGATCGGAACTGTGCCACTTGCTGCAGCAGGTAGTGTGCTTGAGCCAGCTTCACATCTGCACATGCTGGATCCCTGGGGTGAAGTGGGATGGTGGATGGTGCATGATGAGTGTAAATGGTGTGTATGATGCTGACTGTTGAGTCGACTCAGAAGAGCCATGCCTCCTGTTGTAGCAGGTAGTGTGCTTGAGCCAGCTTCACATCTGCACATGATAGATCTCTGGGGGGGTGTGGGGGGGTGTGGGATGGTGGATGGTGCATGTGTGAATGGTATGGTATGGAGGTGTGGCATAATGGCATGCTATGTATGGTACAACATGTGTGGGCAGCTGAAAAAAAGCTACCACAAGATAACAAGAAAATTCCTCTGGTTGATAACAAACCAGTTTTTGGTGTTGAGAAAAAAAAAATGACACGCCACACATACGGACCAGAATATGTGAGATGACGCCACCACCACCACTCGCCCCTCTCCCTGCTGCCCTCTCTCTCCTCCTCTTCCTCCTCTCCCTTCCCTAACCACCTCCCTTCCTGCCATGCTCTCCCCATCCTCTGCCTCCTCTCCTTCCTTTTCTTCACTCGCTCTTTCTTGGAACGCCGCAACAATGGCGACACAGTCGCGCTTGAAGCGAACACGCGGATCATGCAGGTCACGCGATTCAGACAGGTCAGCACCGGCACTTGGTTTCTCAGTCGCCTCCGACACATGGGAGGCGGATAGGTCTCGGGTTTCTTCGGACGAGTCGGGACTGGGAGTGTCTGCTTGGGCCGGCTGGTTTGGTTGGTCTGGGTGGTCTGGGGGAACGAGGTCGTTGAAGTTGATTGGTTGCCAGCGAAGCAGGCGGAATCTGGGGGAGCAAGGGAAAAGAAACCATCAGGAAGCAATTCGGGGAAGCCAGAAGCAGACACGGATGAGCCGACCGACACCGAATGTCAGCGATTCGGAGAAACCATCAGAAAAATGTCGCACTGCACTCACACTTCCTATATCAGTCACTCGACCAGTAGAGAAGCCAGAAAATTACTCATTTCATCCCACATTCTTCCCTGCATCTTATGAGTTTCCTCAAACCAGCCTTGATTCTGAAATGAGTTTTCATTCATCCCACGCTCACCTGCTAGATCGGTAAAAGATGCCGCTTCCGTCCCTCTTTTTGCCTGGCCTCTTCACATACACACTCTCCCAGCCCGCAGCTGCCATCGGCTGGCGATACACTGCCTCGTACTCGTCCATCTCCTGAACACAGAGGAAGTCAGCAGAGAGGGCCGGCAGCAGCGTGAGAAGCACCTTGAACCGATTCCTCTGCCTGGTAGGCGGGAGGAGGGAGGGGGAGAGGGGAGAGCATGGGGCAAGTAGGGAGCACGGGTCACCTGAACACAGAGGAAGTCAGCAGAAAGGGCCGACAGCAGCGTGAGAAGCACCTTGATCCGATTCCTCTGCCTGGTGGTGGCAAGAAGGGCGGGGAGGTTGGGGGTGGGGGGGGGGGGGGCGGAGGAGGGCGGAAGACGCTTTTGGGGAAGGGAACGTTTCAGCATGAGATAGGAAGCAAAAGTAGGAAGGCGATATGAGAAATTCTTGCTGGTGGAGGGATAGTTTGATAATAAATAGGGGAAGAATTATGGAAGAGAGGCAGGGAAAGCAAGGAAGGCGATGAGCTTTAAGTCGACTCAAAATAAGGCGGACGAGATGCAAAATTATTCCTGGTGAAGGGATAGTTCCAGTATTGAAGGGGGGAAATGGTAAGGAGGCGGGGAAAGCAAGGAAGGCGCTGTGTTGCCGTACGGTAAAAGCTCACAACAACAACAGTACCTGAGGGACTGTGGCGGTGAGTGGGGGAAAAGCTCGCTCTTGACGTATGCCTGCGAGAGAGTGAGTTATGCAGATGAGATGACACACATGTGAGAGGGCTTATGCACTGCACATTGTCATGGATTTGACATGAACACATGATGAACACACACATATGCAAGTCGTGGCATGCAAAGAAAAATGCACACGCACACGGACATGAAAATCACGTCCAGATTTACATGACATGACATGGACTTCAAATGCACATTCACACCACCACACCACACCACTCCACACCACAATATACCACACGACACCACACCACACCACACCCCTTCACACCACATGCCTGCGCCAGGATATTGTAGGAGATGACACGAAGTGACAGGCCTGCCGAAGGGAGCAATAATGGGAGAGAGGCGAGGGAGAGAAGAGGGGAGGGGCGACGGACAGGAAGAGACAGAATGGTATGGGAAAGAACGCGAATGGAAGAAGAGTAATAGAATCCCAACTGTATGACCCATCATCGCCATGCATCCCTCCCCATCGAAACCCAATCCCCAGTTGTATTGGAATCACTTGTAAGAATTCTCAAAACCCCAAATCCCGCTCAACCAATAAAAAACAAAGCATTCTCCAATCATCGCATCACTATCTGCTCATGTCCTCACTCACCCTCCTTCCCCATTGCCCTTGATTCCCCACCGACAGCCTGAAACTCCGGAATCATCAATGTTGCTCCTTCCCCTCCGCCTCCGCCTCCGCGTCCGCGTTCCCCCCCCCGTTCCCCGCGCTTCCCCCCATTTGTCATTTTTTCAGCCTTTTCCCGATTCCCTTTCTCCTTCACTCGCCTAAATTTCTCTCCCTTTCTCCTCTCGCCTCCCTCTTCCCCTCCACCCTCGCCCATCTTCCCCACTCCCCCGCTTGTCCGCTCCCCGATCCTCGTTCCCTTCCTTCCCTTCCCAGCTTCGAACTTCCCCGTGGCTTCCCCGTTTTCCGCAAACTCCCCGCGTGCGGGAACCCCCGGCCGTTGATCCAGTCCGTTCGAGCTATGGGGGGGCGTTGATTCAGTTCCGATTCCTGATCCGGCTTGACTTCGATCCACCGCCTCCGCACCTCCCGGCAGTTTTCCCGGGATCCCAGGGCTGCTGTTCTCATAACCCATGTCCGCACAGCGGCCTGCGCGCCGACTAAACAACCTGTGTCGAGGAACCTCAGTGCACGAAGCGTTACTAGCACTGAAAGTAGTAACTTCAGGCGGTGTTAAGGAAACGAGTGTGAATCTCGGGAACAAACAAGCCAGATTATAATAAGTAAGCCGAGAAGGGGAGAGACGGGAATCTGGACAGCTTCTGGCAACGCGGAAGCTGCTGAAATCGAGACTCTTCGAGCCGCGCGGGCTGATGAGTAGCGACAGGCGACTACTGGTAACTGCGGTTGGAGCGCGGGACACGGAATGTGCGGTTAAGAGAGCATCGCATCGCAGGTACTGGATAGCCGCAGCGGCTTTCAGCGCTGAAGATCCGGAGCGAGAAATGGTGACCATGGACGGTTGCTGATGCGATCCGGAAAAGCGTCAACGGAAACTACTCGCCCACGTGTTTGGGGTTGACGTCATGTTATGGAGGAGTTCTGATCAGTGTCAGCAGCAGATGTTGTCCGAAGCATCGAAGAGTGTTTCTAGAAATGTAACTCTCATGTGTGCTTTGAAGAGTGTACATTTTGATTATCTAACTCTTCATATATCGGGTTCAGCATTTATCCTCACGCCCCATCCCCCCAGCATCCATTCCAGCTGAGCACATGACTTTCGTGGTCAGAAACGTGTGAGCAAATCGCGACTACACGTGGCCGTCTCTTCGCAAAGTGTCCTGAAGTTGGGGATTTCATCCCCATGTGGTCTTCATTTTCAGCCTAGCAAACTCGCGTCGCGGAGGGCCTAAAGATTCTTTCTCTTTGGGGCTGATATTTTTTTTCTGGGCAAAACAGTTCAGAATCCAGTTCAGAACGGCCAAGTGCAGAGCACTTGAGGGCATGGTGGAGCAGAAGTCCGGACGAAGGCTCTGCATGAACGCCAGAGAATCATCACCGTACAGAACCTGTGCTAGCACACATAAATCGTTTCTCATCCAGTAATTTACTATTTCAACCTGGGGATGTCTGCTGAGTGGCAAAAGCACAGGGCCTGAAAGTCGGTCCATTAGTGAAAATGTTTGTTTTCGCAGTCCCCTCCCCATACATTTCTCTGCCCAGCAATCAGAACTGGCAGCCAGCCTTGAGCTTGGAGCACAGCACAGCACAGCACATTCGTCTCCTCGTCACGCTTCCTTCAATCGAGTTTCGACCATTTCTTCATCCATCTCTCACATCTCTTTTCACTTTCCAATCTCGAGGTCCCCTCTCTTGCTCAGCATTGCGTCGGTGTTTCTAGGGATTTTCAGAAACACAGTAGCCGGCGCCGGGCCGAGTCCACACAGGAGAACCTACAGGTTCTAATTACACCAGTCCATTTTCTTGGCTCGAAGCTCAAGTTCCGTATTCCCATAGGTGTACGGACCTCGAGCTCCAATGGCTGCTTCCACCAGCCAAGCCCTTCGCTCAGGGCTCTCCTCCGTGAGAGCAGCGAGCAGCACCCCAACCGACATTTCTTCCTCGCGTCGAGATGGCCAGACTCGCAATAGGCTCGTCGTTCAAAAGAGTCCGTTTCTTGGAAAACTTAGTACGCCAGCCGGGAGATTGCTTCTCCCAGCGAGGTCTTCCCTTAACCGTGTACGCTCCTCGTCTGCTCTTCGCGTTAACGCTGTTATCGAAGCACCTCCTAACGGAAGCGTTAGACAAGGCGATAACTCCTCCCCATGGACCCCGGAGGAAGAAGAAGGCGGTCGCGCGCTTTACAGCGCGTCGGGAAGGTCGTCAAACGGATCAGAAGCGAAAGTCGTCGGAGCGACGGTTATCGCTACCAGCAACGGAAGCGCGGTGAAGATGGTTCTCGCTGACGAGGTCGGTAAGAACGGCGCAGCGAACGGCGCGACAAACGGCGCAGCAAAGGCTGCTGCTGTTGTTGTGGAGGAGAAGATCGGCGAAGGTTCGAAAGGCGTGGAGGAGCTTACAGTGGAGGATCGCCCGTGGTTCGAGAAGGCTCGGGCTAGCAATGTGCAGGTTCGTCCTCGTTATCAATCGACTCGTTTTCACAATGTCCTTGTGATAAGTGGTGTCTCTCTTAGTACAGCGTCCGTAGCATAATATGGTCCTGCAGGTCTCGCTTCTAGTGTAGCTTCGAGTCTTCGAAGCCAGAAGGGGGTCGATTCCTGAATAATTGCTTGAAATAAGACGTCTTGGATTCTTTTGACGTGGTTTACAGGTGTCCGTGGCGCCAGGCGGACGGTGGAACCACTTCAAGACGTACTCCGTCATCCAGCGCACCTTCGAGATTTGGAGCTTCGTTATTGTCTTCCTCGTCAAGGTACGCAATATAAGGGGCTGTCGGGTGCGTGATACGCTTAGTGTTCATCAGGAACGAAGTGGAATGGAAATCACACTGGCACATCTGTACGATTCGGAATCGCTCAGGAAGTACATAGTTACTGTACGGAAGGAAATCGAAATCAAGCACGCGGGCATATCAAAGCAGATATCGAGACCGCTATTTAACCGCGCTCAAAGGCTTTGCCGCTCATCACACGGTCTAGGCGACTATCAGCGGGCACACGCGACGAACAGACAACAAACAGCAGTTCCGACGTTTCCTCTTCGCTCACCCCCTCGCTTCCTCTACTTTCACCCGCATGTCTCCCGCGCACCTTCTCCCGTCTCAGGCGTGGCTGATCAACCGCCCCTGGATGTACCGCGGCGGAGTTACGGACGCGAAGAAGGGCGAGCGGCGGCGGGAGCTCGCGCGGTGGCTCAAGGAGGGGCTGCTGCGGCTGGGCCCCACCTTCATCAAGATCGGCCAGCAGTTCTCCACCCGCTCGGACCTATTGGCTCAGGAATACATTGCGGAACTCTCAGAACTGCAGGTGAGGGGCTGGGATGGGCGTTGGTCTGAGTGTCGGAGTTTCCTCACTAGATCGCTGGTTCCTGGTCTGTTTGGCTCAAGGAGGGGCTGCTGCGGCTGGGCCCCACGTTTATCAAGATCGGCCAGCAGTTCTCCATTCGCTCCGACCTCCTTGCTCAGGAATACATCGCCGAGCTCTCAGAGCTGCAGGTGAGAGACGCTGGGACTAGCCTTCCAGTTGCCAGCAGTTCTCCACCCGCTCGGACAGGAGCACATCGCAGAGCTCTCACAGCTGGAGGTCAGAGACTGGGCCGAGAGTTTCCCCTATCTGACCTTCTCCCTGCTTTCATCCAATCGTGTTCTCCCCTCGCTTCCATCCGTCGCTCCCTGCCTTCCACCCACTTTCACCTTTCCCTCCTGCAGGACCAAGTGCCACCGTTCGAGTCGGACACGGCTCTAGCCATAGTGGAATCGGAGCTGGGCAAGCCCATCTACGAGGTGTTCGAGCGCTTCGACCGCGACCCCATCGCGTTCTCACCACTCTCACCCCCTCCCCCACTCTGCCATCCCGCAGGACCAAGTGCCGCCGTTCGAATCCGACACAGCTTTGGCCATCGTCGAATCGGAGCTGGGCAAGCCCATCTACGAGGTGTTTGAGCGGTTCGACCGCGACCCCATCGCAGCGGCCAGCCTGGGGCAGGTGCACCGCGCGCGGCTGCAGGGCAGGGAGGTGGTGGTGAAGGTGCAGCGGCCGGGGCTCAAGGACCTGTTTGACATCGACCTCAAGAACCTCCGCGTGCTCGCCGTGAACCTGCAGAAGATCGATCCAAAGTCGGATGGGGCTAAGCGGGACTGGGTGGCCATCTATGACGAGTGCGCGTCCGTGCTGTATGAGGTGGGTGTGCGTGTGGTGGCGTGTGATTGTAGTGGTATGTGATTGTAGCGAAGTGTTGGCCGAAACAGACGGCGTTAGAGGGTCTGTCGGGGGTGTGTTGCCGTCTACGTTGTGTGCGCATCTTTGGTGCCTGAGGTAGCCAAAGATGCCGCACCCTGTCTTCCCCTTCCAACCCAACCCAATTACCCTGCCATGGCCCACTCACAGGAAATCGACTACATGAAGGAGGGCAAGAATGCTGATAGGTTCCGGGAGAACTTTAAAGACATGGACTATGTGAAGGTGCCCAAGATATACTGGCAGTACACCACGTCGCAGATGCTGGTGATGGAATACACGCCTGGCATCAAGATCAACCGGATCGACGCACTGGATAAGCTGCAGGTCGACAGGAAGAGGTACGGAATGGATTCCTTGTGGTCTGGGTGGTATGGAAGTGTGGGATGGAAGGGGGAGGGGCAAGGGTGCGCGTGCAGAGATACACGACGCCACAGATGCTGGTGATGGAATACACTCCCGGCATCAAGATCAACAGGATCGACGCTCTGGATAAGCTGCAGGTCGACAGGAAGAGGTGGGCTGTTGGGGTGGGCACTGGGGGCGAGTGGTGTTTTTGGGGACAGGAGGGGGGTTGGCTGTACACCACGTCGCAGATGCTGGTGATGGAATACACGCCCGGCATCAAGATCAACCGCATTGATGGGCTGGATAAACTTCAGGTTGACAGGAAGAGGTACGGAACGGGACGTGTTGCGGGGTTTGGGATGGGGATGGTGGGGTGGGGGTGGTTGGGGGGGTGGGGTAGGGACGGGATTCGCGACACATTGATGCAGATGCTGGTGATGGAGTGGAGTGGAGTACACGTAGGGGAACACGATCAAGCAGGTAGATACACTGCATTAGCTCCAGGTCAACAGGAAGAGGCCTGAAACAAGATGGGTTGTGGTTTAGGTGGTGGTATGGCGAAGTGGGTTTGAGGGGGGGAACGAGGAGGGGCGTTTGCATATGCACTGGATCAAGAGCAGTTGTATCGATGCACTTGATATACCGCAAAAAATACTCATCCTCCTGCCATCCTCGTTACAGGCTGGCTCGCTACTGTGTGGAGTCGTACCTGGAGCAGATCCTCACCCACGGATTCTTCCATGCCGACCCGGTGCGTGTCTGGTGGTGCTGGGGGTGGTGCTGTGGCTGCGATTGGGACTGGGGCTGGGACTGGGGCTGGGACTGATGCTAGTTTTGGTGCTGGTGGTGGTGGTGGCGGTGGTGGTGATGCTGTTGCTGGTGGTGATGCTGTTGCTGGTGGTGATGCTGTTGCTGGTTGTGATGCTGGTGCTGGTGGTGATGCTGGTGCTGGTGGTGATGCTGGTGCTGGTGCTGGTGCTGATGCTGGTGCTGGTGGTGATGCTGGTGATGCTGGTGCTGCTGCTGGTGCTCGTGGTTGTTGATGTGACTGGCATATGGTATGCAGTTCCTCAATAGTCCATACTTCGTTTGAAACCCTCTGCACCCATGCAGACTTACTCAGGTGCATTTCTCCCACATTCTGCTGTATGCTGTTCGCCTGCATGCATGCATATCCGACCATCCATATATCCACTTATGGCTATGCATTTGACTTCGTGTGAGCATGTCCGTTGTCCCCTTCGCCCATCCG